CCACACAGAGAGAGTACTGGCCTGAGCTGCGCCCAGGCGCCCCTAGCTGGCAGTGCACCCTAGGTGGCAGCCTAGTTTGCCTAGTAGAAGCACTGGCCCTGCCTATAACCAGCACTCTTTGGCATCTCTTTGTATTGATAGCATACTGTGAAAATATTTAAATTATTTATTTCAGGTACTTATATAGCGCCATCAATTTACGCAGTGCTTTACATATATATTGTACATTCCCATCAGTTCCTAACCCTCAAGGGGTGTACAATCTAAGGTCCCTAATTCACATTCATATACTAGGGACAATTTAGACAGGAGCCGATTAACCCACCAGCATGTCTTTGGAGTGTGAGTGGAGATCGGAGTACCCGGAGAGCCCACGCAGGCAGAGGGAGAACATGCAAACTCCAGGCAGGAGGTGCTGTGACTGAGATTCAAACCAACAACCCTAGTACTGCCAGGTGGAAGTGCTAACCATTTAACCACTGTGCTGCCCATAAATAGTAATAACATTTTCTGTGCAGCAAACATACTGTACTTGGGAATGCCATAATCAATGCTAGCGCTGCCTGTAGTTTGACCTCAGGAAAGAGTGAATATTAATGAAGTTAAATCACTATTTTTGGCTTATGCAGTAATAATTTATTGTATATCAATGTTTAAGGAAACTGGATTTTTTTCCTTAGCTAAGTATATACATTTGATGACTGTCAGACATTAGCCAGAGAAATATTTTCCTTTCGTTTGATGTGTGCATATCATATAATAATAAATGTCATAATATGATATTAAAATAAACTTCTAATAAAACATGCTTTTCTTGTACAGCATTGAGTCAGAAGAATAAGAAAACCTCTCAACACAAGCAGAAGCGAGAAGAAAATTCTACAATATATAGTAAGAAAAACATTTTACATACACTATATTGCCAAAAGTTCATGTACTTTAATGGCATCCCAGTCTTAGTCCGCAGGTTTCAATATTGAGTTTGCCCACCCTTTGCAGCTATAACAGCTTTAACTCTTCTGGGAAGGCTGTCCACAAGGTTTAGGAGTGTGTCTATGGGAATGTTTGACCATTTTTCCAAAAACAAATTTGTGAGGTTAGGACCTGATGCCAGACGAGAAGGCCTGGCTCACAGTCTCCGCTCTAATTCATCAAAAAGGTGTTCTATCGGGTTGAAGTCAGGACTCTGTGCAGGCCAGTCAAGTTCTTCCACCCCAAACTCGCTTATCCATGTTTTTATGGACCTTGATTTGTGCACTGGTGTGTAGTCATGTTGGAAAAGCAACTGGCCATTCCCAAACTGTTCCCACAAAGTTGGGAGCATGAAATTGTCCAACATGTCTTGGTATGCTGGTGCCTTAAGAGTCCCCTTCACTGGAACCACTGGAACTAAAGGGCCAAGCCCAACCCCTGAAAGACAACCCCACACCGTAATCCCCCCTCCACCAAACTTTACACTTGGCACAATGCAGTCAGGCAAGTACCATTTTCCTAGCAACCGCCAAACCCAGACACGTTCATCAGATTGCTAGACAGAGAAGCATGAATCATCACTCCAGAGAACACATTTCCACTGCTCTGGAGTCCAGTGGCAGCGTACTTTACACCACTGCACCAGATGCTTTGCATTGCCTTGGTGATGTAAAACTTGGATTCAGCTGCTTGGCAATGGAAACCCTTTCCATGAAGCTCTCTACACACTGTTCTTGTGCTAACCTGAAAGCCACACAAAGTTTGGAGGTCTTTAGCTATTGACTCTGCCGAGAGCTGGTGACTTCTGCACATTGTGCTCTTCAGCATGCGCCGACCCTGCTCTGTCATTTTACATGGCCTACCACTTCGTGGCTGAGTTGCTGTTCTTTCCAGTTCCTTCCATTTTGTTATAATACCAATAACAGTTGCCCATGGAATATTTAGTAGCAAGGAAATTTCATGGATGGACTTATTGCACAGGTGGCAAACTATCACGGTGCCACACTTGAATTCACTGAGCTTCTGAGAGTGACCCATTCTTTCACAAATGTTTGTAGAAGCAGTTTGCATGCCTACACCTGTGATTGGAACACCTGAATCCAATGATTTGGAGGGGTGTCCCAATACTTTTGGCAATAAAGTGTATATAAGCATAGAACTAGGTCAGTAATAAAAGTCAAGGTTTCTCATGAGATAATTTTATTTTACATGCTCTTTTTCTAAATAGGTTACCCCTGGGATAAAAATAATCTCAAGTCTTTGCAGGTAGATCTGAAGAACTTTGAGAAGCTGGACCTTCATGCTGCAAAGGTACATAGTAAATAATATTTTTTTAATGATAACTACATTTATGGACATATGAAAATAGAAATACAGAAATAGAAAAATAGATAATAAAAATGTTTGGGATATCAGCATATGGATCAGTTTACAAATTAAATGCACAAAAAAATATGTTTTGCAAATAATTTACAATTTAATTTCTGGGTATAAATATTTCTACATGGCAGGCTAGGAAATAACTATCAGACCAAGTGCATGCTTAAAGCATTGCCACCTGGTTCCTAGGGTGCATGTGTTCCTTCTTTCATCCCTTCTTCTGGAGGGGAGGTGTTGCCCTCTTGAAAAATTCTGCCCTAGGCAAATGCCTTGTTTGCCTTGTGGTAAATACACCCCTGGGTGTAAGGTGTCCTAGTGTAACACAGTTCAATACTCTACCCTTACTAACGTCAACTAGTTTCCATTACTGCCTGCAGGACCACTTTAAGAAATACTGTAGCTCTGTCTTTAGCGTTAACAGTCATAATCATCAGAAGTATCTTTCACACCTTCACAAAGGGGTGGAATGGGAGGTATTTTATCCATAACCAGTAATGCTTAAAGTGTAGCTACATGTTATTTTTAGTTTTGGGTAGAGTAGGAAAGGGTTAAAACCCATGCCAGGTTATTTTTTTACTTTCTGTGTACCATTCAGGAATTTTTCCCCTTACTTTTTATCATTAAAAGCTTAACAGAGAGTCTAACCCTCCTTGTTCTATCTAAAAAAAGTCCGATATGCATTTTATATTTTGAAATGTTGGGTTTACATATTCTTCAAGTTGATGAATTTTGTGAAGCTCTGCTGGCTTCCATCTCTCTCAAGTGTAAGAAAAAACAGTAATGGTTTTGACTTACTAAAGGCAAATATACTGTTCATTTTGCAGAGGAAATTGCATTTTGCAAGGGAATTTTACCCAAAGCTTGGTGAATGAGGTGAAGCTCTGCTGACTCCTATCATCCAGTCATTTGCAAGCAAAAATGTGTTTATTTTTCTTTTTTACTTTTCTTGCACATGATTGGGTATTCTGTGCAAAGTGTAGCTTCACCACAGTCGCTAAGCTGTGGGAAAAATTCTCTTTCAGAGTGCAACATCAAAGTGAACAATGCATTTGTTTTTAGTACTTTACCCCCACTGTTTTTTATTTTTTTTTTTTTGCACGTGAAAGGTAGTCTTTGCAAGTAAAATTTTCACTACATTCATCAAAGGGACAATTACCTTGCAAAGTGAACAACCTTTTTGCCTTTAGTAAATCGCCCAAATTAGTCAATTATTTTACTTATGTTGTCTATGCCTGACACTAGGTCAATGCCAATGGGACACTTGAACAGTTGGTGAAAGAACTTACCCTTGAAGCTAACACAGAGCTGGAGAAAACTAGAGTTTTTTGGATATGGATTTGTCATCATATTGGTATGTGTGGATCAAATGACTCCAATTTCCATTGGAGATTAATCATAACAACTATGGAATATATCACATTTAATAAATAATATTTGCCCAAATTATTATTAAGCTTGAATTCATATGTACAATGTATGTCCAACATATGTCTTCTTTCTGATTCTCTCAGAGTATGACACAGCAGTATTAAAGAATAAAGCTCTAATATCACCTGACCCACATGTCGTCCTACAAACCAGGAAAGGGACCTCTTCTGGGTACTGCTCATTGTTTGAACACATGTGCAGGTGATGTATACTAACAGTATGTGACCATCTTTGTTATATCTATTGTATGTGTATTCCTTATGGTAATATGTAAATTACCTTTATTAGTCCTTTAAAAAGTATGTTTAGCTATATACAACTATAGGTATTTATAAGCAACAATCCTGTGGTTTTATTCCTTGCATCTGATTGGGTATTAAAATTGAAAATAGCTTCACTTTAATTACTATGTTAAATAATCATATACATTTTTCAAAGTGAACATTAACTTTGCTAAGTGTAGATTCTCTTCTCTTTTAGTAATTCATTTTCTCTATATACAACAAACCCTATACATTCCCTTTAAATATAAATGAGAGTGCATACTTATTATCTGTTGTCATAACCTCCCTGGTTTATAGTAAATCTGGTAAAGATATAGATACAATACAGTATTTGGCAGTACAATTATTTACGCTTTGTCTAACCTATTTATGCATTTTTATGTCCTGTATGGCACTGATGCTCTGGGTTAGGCATGAGAAAGTCAGAAGTTATTCTAATATGGTTGGCTTAAAGCCCAACTCCAACCAAATGTTTTCTTTTTGTTTCAGATAGAGTGTGGAAGGGTTAGAACCACTTCTAGGTCTCTCCTCCCATTAGAAGGATGGAGGATTTATCCTCATGTTCTGTCCCAATGACATGGACAGGAAGTAGTGGGGCAGAGACAGAAAAAAAACATTTTGGAAAAGTTATAAAAATTGTTTAAGGTTAGAACCTTTTTGTCTTCTTGTCCTGGCGATCTTCCTTCCACTCATTTCTTGAGCTGATGTAACAGAGCAACTGTTGAAACACACAGTAAGGGGAAATTATCCCAGTGGGGGTCACCTGCCAGAGATCCCAACCCTTTCTCATCTAAAAACAAGAAATAAAATCTGCCAGGATTTTGCCTTTAAACAACAAGACAGAGGATTAAATTATTTGAAATGAGAGTGAATCATGTATGTAGACATAACTGATGTTTTTATGGGTGTCTGATAAGTACATTTTCCCTATTTAGCCTTGCTGTTATTCAGTGCAAGACAGTCAACGGCTTTTCTAAAGGAGCCTCATACAAGGCAGGGCAGGCGATATCTTGGGATTCAGACCACACATGGAACATGGTGTATTTAGAAGGAAGATGGCACCTGCTGGACACCACATGGGGTGCTGGTCATGTTGACGAGAGCATAAGCAAGTTCACCTTTCAGTAAGCATTCAGTGTATTTATGGGATTCATGCCAAAAAATTATTATAATGGTGCTTCTCAGATGAGATTTGACATTAGAGTCACCTGGCTAAAATAAGCCAACAAAAATATCATCTGGTTTGGGTGTTCGAAAAATATCCATACTCAGGACATTATTGGTCAGTATGACCCAGAGTTGATCTCCTTCTGACCTGCATTTGACTTGCTTTATTCTGCTTTTGTATTCCCATAGAAATGTATTGGTAGTGAATCAGTTCTGACACAAACAAAAGCCTGCCTGCCCATAAACTGATTCTATTGTGATTGTGTTTTCTGATACTGTGGCAATATTTGTACTGATTGACCACTGTTAGTTAATTAGTAATATCTAATCATGTATGCCTCTCTTCTCTGTTGCCTTCATCAAGGTACAATGAGTTTTATTTCCTGACCCATCCAGCTCTCTTCATTGGAGAACATTATCCAGAACAAGCAGACTGTCAACTACTGGATCCAAAAGTGACCCGCATAGACTTTCAAGAGATTGTACACCACAAAAGTCATTTTTACAACCTAGGGCTGATTTCCTCTCAGCCTGGGGCAGCTGTAATAGAAACAGGTACATTTTTAGTTTTTTTTCTTTTACCACAAAATGTAAAACCTGTCAGTGGTTAGAGTATTTTGGATCTCCCGAACTCAAGTGACGTGGGCTCAAAGAGAAGATGAAGCAAGAAAGAGTAAATATATGAGACCACTCTGTTTGGACAGGGGAATGTCAGTCAGGTCCCCATTTAAAAGTGAAACTAGTTTAAAGTGGAACTTTATTCAGAAAATGAAATCCTGCTAGATCACTTCATACTGGCCCCTTTTTCAGGTATAGCTATGAAAAAAAAGTTACTATATGGTTTAAAATCCAGTAATAGACTGAATCTGCACATGCTCAGTTGCTCTTTATTTTTAACACAATTATGCATACCGATTAGAGGACCTTGGGACTAGCAATGAAACGCTCCCACACAAACAGCTATAAACTGCATAGTGGGGTAGTCTGGGCCACTGTCTTGCATCTATGCATTTTCTCAAGAAAGCACTTTATCAGGTTGCGCAACAAATCTGTTGATTTTTTATCGTGGGGGTTTTATATTGTGCTGTTTTTGAGTTATTTATATGGATGTTTTTATATAATGAAATGAATAATTAAAAGTTTGTAGAATGCATTATAGTCTTTCTGTTATGTTTATTACCCTTGCAGTATATAATTGGTTGTTGAGAGATATGTATTGTACCTGTGTTTAGTTAAAGGTGTAGAACTATATAAATAGAGGTGTAGCTGTGATTTTATAATTATAGGAAAGTATCTGAATTTTACTTGGTACCATCCTGTTTTAATTCCCTGCATACTGGGGAAGAGAGGAATAGAACTAAACACTTGGAGCCAATCAAGTGTGCTAAATGCAAATATGCTAATGGAAAAAAGAGCAAAATGAGAAAGGGATAGGCTGCTGCTTAGTCACTGTCCATTCAAAGGCTGGGGGCAGGAAGGTGATCTAGCTTTCTTTGTTACGTGTAGAAGAGAAAAGTCTGGTCACTAGCCTAGCTCTACTATCTGCCAGAGTTATGTAATTCTCAGGACTTGATGGACAGAAATACAGAAAATCCTTTGACAGGTAAAATAGTTCCTATATAAGTATTTCTATTGTTGTTTCTCTGTTTGCCTTACGTTCAGGTGTAAGGACCAAGAACAATGGCAAATGTAGGGATGTAGCTTAAAGAGCAGCCCACAACACCAAATAAATGCCACAAAGAAAATTAAAACAGCTCAACAGACAGGTTCTATCTATCAGTCAATACACAATTTTCATGTTCGAATGGTTTGTTCCATATCTGACTAAAAGGTACTTAAGATCCAAATAGCTAGGCAACTAGCATCTTCATAGGGGAGCTAAAAATGGTAGCACTTCTATCATGATAGAGTCACTTTAAATCTGAGCTCCAGGCTGATGTAAAGGGGACACACTAATGGAGCTCTATATTCATCAATACATTATTGATGTATTGTTTACAAATGTATTTTTAATGTGATTGAGACGATCACTGGTGCTGCAGTGCTCATGTGTTCAGAGGGGGGCATACAGGAAAGAGGAGAGAGGAGAGTGACAGAGAGATGAACTCATCAGTATGCTGCTTCTCTTTTTACTGTCCAGTCATAAGTTGAGGGAGGGACAAGTGTTATTCAACTACAACATTTACTCTGCCAGACAAGGCTGTGCTGTGTCGCAAGAATAATGTCAGAACTGGATGGACAGAAATACAATTCCTTTGACAGGTTAAACAGCTCCCATATATATATATATTTCAACTGTATATTTAGCTGTTTGTCTAGAGTTTAGCATTAAACAAATGCAGGTGCTTTCATAATTTCAAGCCAATAAAAAATATGTTATATCTGCTCTATCTAGATAAAGGAAAAGTATCCATTACCATTGAGAGCCGGCACAAGATGTTGTACATCTTCAGCTTAAATGAAACAGAAGATCAAGGTCTGCTAAGGCTGATGGAGCATGAAGCCAGAATTGATGTTTATCCTTCAAAGACTGGGCAACAGATTATACAAATTTATGCCAAAAGACAGGATTTAGAAGAAGCTTACCAGTTGGTGATGGACTACAGAATAGACTGTAAAACTGTGGACAACAAGATGAAGATTCCCAAGTGTCTTCATAACCCTGCTGGTCCAAGCTGGCTGTCAGAAATGTCTGGTCTTCTCCATTTATCACACAAAGATCCCATCATTTACACAGAAGATGGATGCTGTACTATAAGCTTTACCACAGGCAAGGAGCTGAGACTCACAGCAAACCTCAGATCCGATGAAGTGAAATCTATTCCGAACCATATAATGCAAAGGGTGCAGGACACAAAGGTGGAGTTTAGTATCCATCTTCCACAGGCTGGCACTTATGTTCTCAAAATATTTGACAGCACTGAGGTGTACCTGTGTAACTATCTAATAATTTGTCAAAACACCAAAGTGAAATGGCCACCTTATCCTGCAGTACTTCATAACCCTGTTGGCCCACACCCAGAGACAGAGAAAGCTGGACTTCTTCACGCTTCACATCTAGACCCAATCATTCTCCAGGAAGATGGACTCTGTACTATTAGTTTCCAAACTAATGGGGAACTAAAGCTTAGTGGCAGCTTGAAGTCTGATAAAATGCCTGCTAAAATGAACCAAATTATACAGAGAACAGGGAAGGATAAAGTTGAGTTTAACATCCGCCTTCCACTATATGGTTCGTATGTTTTCCAGATATTTGGTGAAAATAAGGGCTTAATCTGTAACTATCTAATAAGATGCTCTAACCCAAAGGTAAAATGGCCACCATTTCCAAGCATGCTTCACAACCCAGTAGGTCCACACCCAGGTATAGAAGCTGCTGGACTGCATCAGCCCTCACATCTGGATCCAGTCATCAATACTGAGGATGGATGTTTTACTATTACCTTCACCACAGACCGGGCATTAAACCTCAGAGCCAGCTTGAAATCAGATGATGTAGAAATAGCACCCAATGTTATGTATGTTCTTCAGACCATACAGAAGCAGAAACTAGAGTTCAATGTCCGCCTTCCACGTGCAGGCTCTTTTGTTTTTCAGATATTTGATGAAATTGCTGGCTATATTTGCAATTATTTGGTCACATGTTTGAACTCCAAGGTAAAATGGCCTCCTTTCCCTTCTAGTCTTCATAACCCTGTGGGCCCAAATCCAGAGACGGAGAAAAGGCTGGGCTTATGCAGCCCTCACATCCAGGCCCTACGATTCATACTGAAGATGGTTGTTGTATTGTTAGTTTTGCATTAATGCGAGATTTAAGCATTTTTCCCACTTTACATTCAGATGATGTTAAAATGATGCCAGAGATGGAGCACAGACATATCTTTCAAACAAAGACACAAGGCAATGTGCAAATCAAGGTCCGCCTCCCACAGTCTGGAACTTATGTGTTACATGTGAACATTATGCCTAAGAACAGTAACATGTACAAACATCAGTGTAATTATCTCATCACTTGTACCAATACGGCTGTGAAATGGCCAGTGTTTCCATTGGTGTACACAGACTGGTCTGAAAGCTATGAACTGGTGCAGCCCCTAGAGGGCATTCTATCCAAGGACAGTGATGTTTTCTTCAAGCTGCAGATTCCAGATGTTGCTGGAGTATGTGTAAAGGGGAAAGACTCCTTCCCTCTGGACCTCAATGAAAGCGGTTACTGGGAAGGCACATGCAGTACAGCCAATTGTAAATACATGTATGTCTCTATTAGGTCTAAAGACAATCCAGACACCCGGACGTTTATTCTTCAGTATCACATAGGAGACAGGACTCAATAGAATGAGTGAAACAAACATTACAATATTTTCTTATAGTCATTTATATTATTTATAAAAATTAAAATTATATTTTTCAATGCCATTCTATAGGAATATTTTTCATCCTGCATCATGAGAGTCAATTTAAGAATTATTTGAATAAATTATCATATAACATGACAAAAAGATACAAAAACAATTACTGGTGCTTACGGTAAAGATGAATAAGGAAAGGGCATATTTATTTAAAAGCTTATGAGCAAACCATCTATGTCACCCATAGCAGGCGGTCAGAAGTTTTATTATTTCAGTACTGGAAGAAAATTGGCAGCTGGAATCTGATTAGTTGCTTATAGGGGATCAGAGACTTTTCCATTTTTACAACAAAGTAAAACTACTCGCCTCCTTTTGCAGCATTAGTGGCACCAGCATCTTTACCTGGTCTACTTATGTTTTCCCAACCTTTGCCCATCTCAAATGGTTGGGCTCAGATAGCTTAAAGTGATTGTAAAGGTTCAGATTTTTTTTATAACAAACATATCATACTTACCTGCTCTTTGCAATGGTTTTGCACAGAGCAGCCCCAATCCTGCTCAGGTTCCCCACTGGGGCTCCTGGCCCCATTCCCCTGCTGAGTGTCCAACGTGTTTGCTCTGGGGGCACTTGTCTTTGCGCGCTCTCAAACAGGCTGTGTGTGTCTATAAAATACAGCAAGTGCAGCTGAGCCCCATCCCCTGCTCTGTCATCACTGGCTGTGATTGACAGCAGAAGAAACCAATGGCTCCCACTGCTGTGTCCCATCCAATGAGAAGGCAGAGACCTAGGAGAGCTTCTGCTCTTGTGCACATCGCTGGATCAGGCTCAGAGGTCTAGTTCATATTGTGCAGGTCGGTTAGGGGCGCTGGAATTGCACATTTTCCCACACCCACAACCACCCGCAGCTGAATCGCTGTACTATTACGAGATGCATGGAGCTGCCATTCATCCTGATTAGCACCACCATGTATGCCTGCAGCATAATCGCGGGTGGAACCACAGGGAAACTGCATTGTCAAAAAGACTATGTGGTTTCCCTGCGGATGCATTTTTGAAAAGGTGCATGCACCTTTTTCTGCGGGACATGTGATACAGCAGGCCATTCAAATGAATGGGCTGCAATGCCCAAGCAAATGCAGGCCGCAAGGCCTGCACTATTGTGCACCAGGCCTGAAGGTTTTTTTACCTTCATGAATAGAATGCATGAAGGTAAAAAATATTCAGCCTTTAGAATCACTTTAACTAGAGCACATGCATACAAGAGTTTGTTCATTATGCTGCTGAGGCATGCTGAGATTGTAAACTGAATTGTGAGTGTGAAACTTAGTGTGCAATCTAAAGAAGATGGCAGACAGTCAAGTAAAAAGGTTTTATTGCAGAAGAGACATAAGGGTTTACTTACAAAGAACAAAATGGGACTTTTACAAACATTCTCTGGTGGAGAACCAGAAGTCCAGGTCCAAGCATTGTAAATGTGTTCGATTTATTCTCCACCAGAGAATCTTTGTAAAAGTCACAACCTCATATGTCCCACATTAAAATATATGTCTAACTAAAACTTTTTTGTAGTTTTGGTTAGAGAGTTGAAGTATTAGAGCTTTGAATGCGGTTGCAGGGTGGTTGCAGCGCGGCCCCATTCACATGCTGCATGCAATAGCCATATGCCCTTGTTTAGTTAGGTGGTCAGGTGGATGATAAATTCATGGCTCTACTTTCTGCTATTACCACCCCCTGGCCACCTATGTGAACAAGCCTTTACTGTCTTAGTGGCAACAGTTTCCTCATAAGGGAAGTGCAGTAAATTCTGTAACAGGGATGCAGACAGCAATAAAAAGTTGCCAATGGTTCTAGACATCTCTTACTCTATAAAAAAAAAAAATTACTTTTGATGTTGTTGGGGATTTTTACTTTCTATCTGAACAAATTGCTGTCAGCGTGACATTAAGTAAAGGTAAATCTCTATAATGGAGCCCCTGGGGGTAGTAAAAACCTGATAGGGGTTCTGATCCTTCCCCACTCTATCCAAAATTTAAAAAAAAAGAAAAAGATTATTTTGGCTGGACTTACACTTTAAGAAAATCTGTACTGATCTCAAAATAAGATGTTCAAGATTGTCTTTTCATTAAGTGTTCTTACATGGCAAGACCACTTACTGTTATCTCACATATATATTCTTATTATTATAGCCAAATTTACCACCCTAACTCCTCCCACAGTTTTTACACTACATAGACAGTAATATACCAAAACGTGCGGATTGTTCCCGATTGGTGTGCTGTTACTTTGTGGAACGTTTTGCCAAATGGTTCACGAAATATCGGCGTTTTTGTGGTGAAATTGGTCCCATAGGAATGAATAGCGGAATGTTCAAAACTAGAGTGGGAGCTGACAAAAGCTAGAGTGTGAGCTGAAAAATCAGGACATGATTTCTAAACTGCCATCACTCCCTCATTTTCAAGTCCACCTACACAACTCTTATATCAAAATGTTCAGCTATCCATGCTGCCTCTAAAAATGTCCACGGCTAAGCCATAGTCCTGATAGTTTTCACAATATGACCATTTGTTTGCAACTCACGCCGCCCATTGACATTCATTGAAACTGCACTCTAGCCACCTCAAATTTGAAGGGCAATTTCTAAACTGCGACTGTACCTTCATTTTTAATATTTCAGAGACATACTATGCATCAAAATGTAGGTCTTGGTCTTGTGATTCTCACAATATAAAGCTCTTCACTGTAGGATGTATAGTTTTTAACATTATGACCATTTGAAGATGCCAGTGAAGTGAGCAATTTGGAGCAGTTTGTTTTTAACCGCTCTTCTCTGCCCTATTTGAAATCTAATTTTGAATTTGTGACAGTTTGGCCGGCTTTTGGTTAAAGGTTTGGAAATACGTTTTCTACCGTAGAGAGTATTTGAGGTGTTTCAACGCCCACTCCAGTTGTACACTACTGGTGGAGGCAAGAACACTTCACACAATTTCCCCAGAAATTGTAGCTTTTCTAGTTCTTTTTGTAATCTTTGTAAATTGGAAACCCTGAAACACTTTGCTCCACTTTTACCCCCTTTTTATTCTATTGGGGTTTTAATTGAATGAAACCATATAAAAACGTGATGAATAAATTAAATATCATATAAATCAAAGTATATATATCAGTTGAAATCTCCCGTGATTATAAGTGTCCACATTAAATCAATCCAGTGAATAGTGCATCCTCCACCATCAAACACAGCCTCTTACCAGAAGTTCAGACCCCTAATTTTTAGGTGGTCTACAAAGGCATGAAGCTGTGTGTGTTTCAATGTGTGTTATCCTCCTCAGAGATGTTCAGGTGCTATGATCTCCTCCCTTTGTTCTTTGTGAGCTGAAATATGAAAGAGAATCACTATTGTGAAGTACTATCAAATTTTTTTATTTTAAAATCCAAAGATTTTACTTACATAATGCCAGTAAAACATTCGCATATATCACATATATGAACGCCGCTGGCGGGGGTGACGTCAGCACGGGCTCATCCTCCCTGATGTGCGTTTTGTCGGAATGGATGTTCTCAAGGTGAAGACTGTTCCCCTTGAGAATGTCCATTGGGATGATTTTCATTAACAGTAGAGGAAACAGCACAAGGGACACACATTGGTACCAGGGGCGGACTGACCATTTGGAAACTTGGGCACTGCTCGAGGGCCTGGGGTCAGTAGGGGGCCCCATGAGATGCCCCTGGTACCTTTTTCATAGGCTTTTTTGAGTTTGGGCAAGGACACAGGGGCCCCATGATCCCCTATTGCCCGGGGGCCCCATGAGTTGTCAGTCCGCCCCTGATTGGTACATAAGGGGGTTGACTTACTGAAGGAAAATAGCCTGTGAACTTTACAAATGCAGTTGCGCACTGCAAAGGCATTTGCTCCAGAGCTTAGTAAATGAGATAAGGCGTCACATTGCAAAGAATACCCAATCACATGCAAGAAAAATAAGAAACAGCATTTTTGCTTGCAAATGATTGGATGATGGAAATCAGCAGAGCTTCCCCTCATTTAATACGCTCTAGAGCAAATTCCCTTGCAGAGTGCAATTGTACTTTCAAAGTGCATTGTCTATTTGCATTACGGGCAGCACAGTGGCTAAATGGTTAGCACTTCCGCCTGGCAGTACTAGGGTCGTTGGTTCAAATCCCAACTATGGCACCTCCTCCCTGGAGTTTGCATGTTCTCCCTGTGCCTGTGTGGGTTTCCTCTTGGTACTCCAGTTTCCTCCCACACTCCAAAGACATGCTGGTAGCTTAATTGGCTCCTGTCTAAATTGGCTTTAGTATGTGTAGGTATGTATGTGAGTTAGGGACCTTAGATTGTACACCCCTTGAGGGTTAGGGACTGATGTGAACTTACAATATATATGTAAAGCGCTGTATAAATTAACGGCGCTATATAAGTATCTGTAATAATAAATGTAGTAAATCAACCTCTAGGTGTTTTGTATGTGAGGCAGCAGGAGCCTGAAGGGTCTATGCTTGGAGATATCTCTCCTGCATAACATACAGGCAAATCAAAGGGTTTCTCAGATCACCAGATTGTGGCTAGAAATCAACAGAAACTCTGTAGAATGCGATCAGAGTAAAATGTATATGGCAATATTGGAGAACACAAATCTGAATTATGTATCCCTCGACTTCATACTTATCACTTTCCTAATGGAACATCTGCTGAGCAGTTACATTTGTGTTGGGACAGATATTGCAGATCACTGCAGTCTGATACTTATTTAGCATGGAATGCTGCTGCCATCATGTGGAGAGAGTCACACGTGTCACACTAGTCTGCTCGCCTGATTTGGACTACAAACACATCTTCCTCCCCATCTCCATTATGTGACAAGGGGTGGGTAGGTGGGGGTGGGATTTGTAGTATAGCTTGGAAGAAATATAACATTGTTTGGGATTTTCGTTTAATTAACAGTAAGTGACAAAAGCACAGAATTTCTGACAAG